CAGCAGGAACCAGTGGGCCTGAATCTGAGAGCCATGGACAAGGTAGAGGAGTCAAAAGTAATGAGGGATTACATAGATGGTTTTCATGGGGTTTGTTGGCAATAAGAATATATAATATAACTGGCATTATCCTTGATGGAGGCATAAATTGATCTTTCATTTTATTTTAGTTTTTCCAGTGCAAAAATCTGTAAACACAACACTGCCATTGCTGTCATCAATTTATTAGGCTGTTATGACAAATGTGTAAGCAAATTAGTCACAGAGCAGCTTTACCATCCATTTATTGTGTTTGTCTCTAACTAATGATCATAAGTCCAATATTCACTCTCCTTTTAGCTCTGCTTTGGTCTTTAACAGTTTCTGAGAAAAATATCCAGTTTTGAACTGCTAAAGTAAATAGTCCAACGTGTTCACCAGATGGTTGAAGCAGTTGGACTTACAAACACAGCAACCAGCCACATCGTTGGAAGAGGTGACAGAGGTTTTCATGACACTGAAAATGCCAGTGTAGCTAATTCTGAACCTTGGAACCTCTGGAGAGCAGTTCTGTGACAGGCAAATGCCACTGAGCTTGCTCATATCTGTTCCTGTGTACATACAGTAGATAGAGGAATAGCCACACTGACTATGTTCACTGTAATGACAAAGCAAAACAAGACAAGTCACAGCACTGGGTGGTAGAATCTGATCAGTGATGATCGAAACTGTATTTATATTTTATTTCACTGACAGCTATCTTCAGGCCACTGTTTCTGGACAAAATAAAGATCAGTTTATAAAAAGCAGACATGCCCTTAACTCACCTGCTTGGATGCTGGGGAGCAGGAGGGCTGCCAGAATCAGGGCCATCGTCTTCATGTCTCTCAGCCTGCCGCTGACCAGCATCACTCCTGAGGTCTACAAGAGTTGGGGCTTCAAAGTGGGTTTCAAAGTGTGAAGTGCCACCGCTCACAGAGGGCACCTAGAACAGCACAGTAAAATGCAGAAGACTCAGCAAGATGTAGAAATAGGCAAATCTAAACAACCCCTTGGTGCAGAAGCATGAAGGTAGGTCTGTCATAGTTCTGGACAACCATGTCACACAGTGAGGGAGTGTTTTAGTGCAGTCACAACAGACTGTTCTCATTTTAGGTGTATGCTTATATCCTCTAATGTGTGGATAGAAAGGATACTTTCACAGTTAGCTTGTTACATTGTACAAAGGTGTTTTACGTCTAATATATCTTTTTTCAGAGTTGTCATCAGAGGAACCTAGAAGTTGCCAGGCATGCTGTGTGTTAGTCTGAACATGTATACACACACATAGTGTTATGTGTGAGTGTGGTGTGGACCCCAGTTGCAGACACAGACCAGGAGGAGTAGGAGCCAAAGAAAGTGGTTTAATGAACAAAAACACAGGTAAGGCTGGGTGGCAGGAAGACAAGGACCCAGGGAGGAGACCAGGAGGAACCAAGAGGGATGAGGAGGAGACCAGGAGGAACCAAGAACCAGGAGGGACCAGGAGGAGACCAGGAGGATGATGAACCAGGAGGGACAAGGGGGAGACCAGGAGGATGAAGAACCAGGAGGGACGAGGAGGAGACC